ACCCCCACCACCGACTCCGGCGGCCTGATATCCTCCCACGCATCCTCATCATCCTCATCCCCTCCCCACGCGCTCCGAACGCTCTTAGCGCTCCGCATCGTCTTCACACTCCTCTTCGACAGCGTGCTCTTCAACCCGCCGCCACCACTCCTCGACTCGTTCAGCCGGTCCGTCAGCGGGCCCCGGCTGGGCGTCTCGGGCAGCTGGCGCCGCGGCCCGGGCCACTCGGTGTGGGTTTGGTGCGCGCTGGGCGAGGGCGTCGCAGAGGACGCGGACGCCATCATGGCGCGGAACTCGTCCAGCGCCTTCTGCTCCCGGATCCGGCTGATGCGCAGGCGCTCCTCGCGCGACGACCGCCGCGCCTTGCTGCCGTTGCCGTTGTTGTTGCTGCCGCGCTTGTGCGCGAGCGGCGTCGGCATGCACCCGGACCCGCGCGACATGCGCAGGAAGCTGTTTCTCTTCTTCGCTGCTGCTGCCGCTCCGGTGGGCGCTGCGTGCGGCTCGTGAGCGGCGACGGGCGGCTCGCGCGGCCCGAGGCCGAGGAATACGTCTGGCACGGGCCACCGGTCGGGGGACATGAGGTCTTTGCTTGTGTGGTGGCTGTCCCAGTTTTGGCTCTGCGCCACGCCCACCCGCGGTTCTTCTGGGCTGACGAACGGCTCCCCTATCGCGTGACCGGTTTGAATGAGGTCTGCGTACGCAATGCCGAGGGAATTCCTCGATAGCGGATCCCATGTTGTGACGGCGTCTTGGCCTAGGTCTTGCTCCATCGAAGTAGCCGGGGGATCTACCTCTCCCATGGCGGGAGGGTCCGCTGGTACTGGTATCGTGCTTGTTGCGAGGCCATAATTCCGTTGGGATTTGGTAAGAGAACGACCGCCGAAGAATGTTGATGAATCATCCGTCCTTCTGCTTACTTGTCGCGCCTCGCCGGGCCTACTAGGTATGTGGATCACCGTCGGTCTGGCCACCATATTGGTGCTCGCCGTAGTCGCTTCTTCCGTGACGCCAGAGGTAAGGATACTCGTGCGTGTTGTCACGCCTGAAGACGCGCTAAGCTGGCTATGTCGCTTCTGGTCTCCTAAAATCCTAGTCACGCTCCCCCGTTTCCAGACGGTGGAGAGTCTATGCTGAACTCCGCGGAGGCTGTCGCGCGTGCTTTGCTGGTAGCCCGACCTCCGCCGCTCTCCATATCCGGTCGCAGGCGGCGTGTCATCGTCTGAGACGTAGTCGTATTTTCTGGCCACCGCGTAGGCGAGCTCTGGGGTCGGTTGTATGCTCAACGGCTCTGTCTTCGGGGCCTCTAGGAGAGCTGACTTTCCATACATACTTTCGGGTAGCTTTATAGGCGATAGATCCTCTTCCGCGATATGCACATCGTCCCCGACGCTAGTGTCCGAGAGCAGACTTACCTCATCCGTAACTGCCGGGGACGGGCGGGTCTGCCCCGTCTGGCGGCCGGAGAACCAGGACCCTCGTGCTTCGCCCATGTTGTTACCGGGGAGTGCGAGCCTGATGGCCCCAGATTGGGTAGTCATTGCGTGTGGGCTAGTGTGATCTATATCAGTGCTCGGATTCGGCATCGTCTGCGACATGCGAAGACTCGGAGGGACCGTTGGCACAGAACCGTTTGGCTGTGTAGATGGTGCCGGCTGTCCTGTGTCCAGCATATGCCGTAACCCCTGAAACGAGGTGTCCATAAACCCATTTGCCACAAAGGTACCCGGCACCGGCCCCGAGACCTCTGAAAAGTCCAGCTTTCTCGGCTGTTGCCGTCGTCTGCGCACCAGGAAGATTGCTACGATGATGGCAATAGCAATGAGCAACACCGGAATGACAAGGAGCCAGTACAAGTTTCTACGCGAGTCGTCGTCTCCTCCCTTTCTACCTGGCTTGGGGGGACTGGGACTCTTTTCCGGCGGTGGGGGAAGGTTCACGTGAATCTGTAAATTTTTCGCTTCCTGATCTTTAGTGCCCTTATGCGTCGCGTTAAACGTGGTCCGAAGCTCGTTCACATAGTGTGCAGCTCCTCCGCTCGGTGCCTTAGGCGCCGTTCCGGAGAGGATCAAAGTCGATTCGTCGAATCGGATCCACGAGCCGGCGGGCTGCGTCTCGGCCGTGATCTCCGTCTCCACAGGGGCGACGAGGAACTTTTTAAGATCGAATGAGAAGTCTTTCCCCGCTGATATATTGAGACTGGGTAGGTCGGACGTGAAGATTTTGGTGTGGAAATTGATCGTGAGGGTCACGTTCAAGGCGTCGGAATACTTGTCCACCACCACGATCGTGACGTTGGTTGGTTGTGCATCCTTTTCCGGCGTCCCGCTAACCTTCCACGATTTCTCGTCAAATGCGAGCCATGCTGGCAGTCCATCTGCCGTGATAGAAGAAACATTATCTGCCTGTAACGGTTGTTTATCCAATTTTAAGATTGTGGGTAGATCGGTATACTCTACTGGTTTGCCCATTGTCGCGTTTACTTCGATAAGAGGGTCGTCGACAGTAAGTTCGTGACGGCCCACTACGATGGAGAAGTCGACGAAGGCCGATGAGAATCCGACAACGTCCGAAGCTACTAACCGAAACCCAAACTTCTGAGGTGGCTCTACGAGGGACTCGGAGGATGGTGTTTTGCCAGAGAAAGCGAGCTTTTCCGCGTCGAATTCGATCCAGGATGGGAGGGGCGCGTTGTCGCCAGATACCGCATAGTAGTTCAGCCCCGGTCTGTTCACGGCTTCGTCCTCCTCTCGTTTTAGATCTCGAGTCTTGGTTTGGCCATTTCTATCCCCCACAGCGCTGACGCCGAAGGTATTTGGGTCGAACTCGAAGGTGAACTCGCTTGACGGATGAACTAATAAGGATGAGGGCGCCGAGTACGGTCCGATTTTCTCAATCTGATCTTCCATTGGTATCCGCACAATGGGCGCCGGTCCGCGCGACACGACAAGTGTTGCATTCGCGGCCGTCGAGCCCGTGTCATCACTTGCCACGAGCGTGATTACGACACCAACTAGTGTGTCGCCCGGGGCTATCAGGGCATCGTCAGGAGTTCCTGATAACCTTCTGGACGCGCTATCGAGCGAGAGCCAGGGCGGCGAGCCGTCTGCTAGCGCGTAGCTCATCTTCGTATCGGAGGAGAACGTGAGTGGCGAGAATAGGAAGGAGAATGGCTCCGCGACGCGCGCCACGGGTGGGAGTTGTGAATTCAAGGGGAAGTATGATATCGGCGTGCTCGCCACGGGCGTAGTAAAGCCGAGGAGTAGAATCGCGACCTGGCTCGTAAATAACAACTGTAAGTGTCGTGAAATGCCTGTGATGATTCTGCTGCGACGGGGACGGGGACTCGCCCGCCGCCGCGTCGCCATCATCGTATAAGTGAATCTCGGCGGCGATAGCGGCGATGGCGATAAGGTGTTTTCATGGAATATCTGTCGCGCTAATCGTATACTCGTCAAGAGCGTATAAACCCGCGATCTATTGTTCGTCTAGTTAGTTGCGCGCAGCGGCTGATGTAGTTCGTCGTCGTCTTTCGTTTGTTTCGGTGCCAATAACCCAACTGCTATCCTGCGCATGGGGGTATCGCGTGTGTATGAACTATGAACTCTGACCTAAGGTTTACACGAAACGCAATGAGAAGCAAGTATCGTTCAAGGAAGCCTCACGCGGCGGCGGCAACGGAGAGCACCAGTCTCGATCGCGCCTGAGCTATCTTTGCCAACCCATCCCTTCTCCCATCTTCTTACCATGACGTGCGTGCGTGCGTGCACTACTACGCATACTATAGGCGCGCATTGCGGTTCGCAGCAATGCAATGTAGTAAGTGGGAGCCAACGTCAGAGACTCAATATCGCCCACTTTAGATTGACTACACCCGTTTCGAGCGTGTCTCTCTGACACGACTGGCATGCGTTTCCTCCATATCGCGTGCGGCGCAGTCTCACATTTTCTTTACTATACAGCGCTAGATGGGTAGCCGTCGGGTTGGTATTGGAATCTTTATGGGGCTAGCATGTCTTAGCTACGGCCGTCATTGATGTTGGCATTCCGGGCCCGGCGGAGGGATGCCGTCTACGGCGCCTCTCTAGCAATTTAGGAGGTAATATCCTCTGCCTATTAATAAAGAGCGAATTCCTACTTTAAAGTGGTAGAGCTCATTTCAGCGAAATATCCCTTCGATCTCTTTAAGCGAGGGCGACTGCATATTATAACCCTCTTTAAACCAGCAGTCTTCACTCGTGACGTCCAAGACGATGATATTTCGATAAACCTTATTTTTGCTGAATATTATGAGCATACGTGGCATTAGTTAGAGGTTATCTATAAAAAACCTGTTAACATTATGGTCTTATAAATTATCATAACAATCTCTGAAATAACTGTGTACATTTTTATTTATTCACTAATTATAAATTCCTCAAGTGCATATACCACTATGAAGAATTGTTTATAAAACTATTTCTGAGAAATCACAAGCCTGATTCAGAAGAGATTCGCAAAAAGAATCAAGATATCCTACAACAGTTCGAGCAAGGATCTCGAGCCGAAGGTGACCGATATCCTCCACCTCGACGTAGATAATACCGACGAAGAGACGAAAAATGGGTTCAGTGGCAGACCGAGCCTGGTGGCCAGAACGGGCCATGACTGCTGGACGAAGACATTGTACGCATCGTTTTGCTCCTATTCTATTGGTTCTCTAGTGTAATGCTCATTTATACTCACTGATTCTTTACTCATCCTCTTAGTTAGAGAAAAATACGCAATTGAGGCACAAGAGAAGACAGTAGGTAGTTTAGGCAGTGTTTTCCACCACTCTCAGATGAAGTACACCAGTAGCATACTCAGCCGTCGTACCGCGTCACAATAAAATAATTTTCAAAAAAATGTCTTCGCTACTATTTTAATAGCAAACTGCCCAGAATGAATCGAATAAAAATATATATAAAAAAGCAAAAAATAGGTTGGTACTCCTAGTTGAAACTGGGAGGCATCAGGAATTGAGCCCAATGCGGGGGTCGAACCTGGTTGTGGATGTTAGTACAATTCGTTTCCCAATTGTTATTGGCAGAATAGCTTACCCGCAACCTTGAGATTAAGAGTCTCACGCTCTACCGATTGAGCTAACCGGGCGATCGATGTTGCAACGTGGTGCAGTGCCCCTACTTGTATTCACTCGGGTTTGTGTGATTGCTCGCTTACGCAAAAGGCCCCATTATACTGTTCGTTTGGCGCGAATAGTCTGGAGAAAGAGGGGCGGGCGGAGGGTGAGAGAGGGGAAAAATAAATAAATAAATTTTGTGGCTTGCTTAGCTCGTTTAGCTCCCCATAACTCAAAATATGATAAGTCGACAAGATGAAATATAGGTAGTTAAAGTGCTTCCTACTAGTGTATACAAGCTCTTCATTATCAACCGTTCTCTATAGGGGATATCAAAGCAGCGATAGCAAAAGTATGTCGATGAAATCATGAATAATATGCATATATCGTAGACTGAAAACTATTATGGAATCCATGATTACGTCGGATAACTCTAAAGACTATTCCATTAAGCTCATGATTCATACTTCAACCCATGTTGCCGGCTGGGCAGTATGATAGAGTTCATACTGCCATCTCCGGGATCCTCTAATAGTCTAAGTGAGTGAGTAAGCACTTTAATATATCAAGGTAGTTAGTTGCACTCAGAGGCGGAATATTATTGTTTATGCAAAATTATGATCAACGGCAATCGTTGAGTAGTAAGTAGTATTGATGAGAGCACGACCAATGATTATTCCTGCTTGGTTATTATGGCAGCGGCCTAGAGTCCCCCATACGTAGCAGTAGGTTTCTCCTCCTATTTATATCAAAGTAATAAGCTTAACAAGCAATATACTTCAGTTACAATGATGCGGAGGTGTGTTTTTTTCTTCTTTTTTTAAAAAAAAAAACAAGAAGACTAAAAACTTCGTTGACTAATGTATACACCGCCAACATGACATAATAAGAGAAAAGGGTTTCAGACTCACGATATGTAGGCATTTTTACATTGGACGGCTATCAGTGATAGCGAGCTCACCTACCATCGAGCCGTGATGTCGTGGCCATGATTTACGAAATAGCCCAACGTGGCCCATGTTGCTGTGCTGGTCGACTTCAGTCTCGTCATGTCGAGGTGCACACGTTCGTGATCCCCGAAGGAAAGAAACAGCAGAATCAGCACGAGGAGAGTGAAATAATACATGATCTTTGAAATAGAAGGTATACATGGCTACTAAAACCAGCAAGAAATGAACAAATAAATACAAACAGTTCACTATGCACACTGGTATCCCATCCATCAACAGCTAAGCAGCCCCCTTACCATCACACCCAAGTAAAGAGGCGGGTCAAATTACCATCCGAGGCGTTTATATGTTCGCTTGCCATCCATTCCACATGAACATGAACATGAACTCCAGACTCCTTGCTTTAGCCCTCCCCCATCATAACAGCAAAAAAGAAAAAAGCCCCCCCCATCACCCAGCAAACGGCAACTCCCTAGGCCGCCCCCAAACATCGCACGGCAGAAACCTCCACGCGCCCGCGTGTCTCGGCGAGAGCTTATCAGCAATAGCATGGACGGCCGGAATCGACATGCGCGGCCAATCGCCCGCGTTCATCCCTCCCCCCATGCCTCCTCCTATCCCCATCCCCATCCCCATGCCAGCAGCACCAGCGCCATGCCCCCGCGACCCATGCGACGACGCAGACGACAGCGACGACGCGGACGCCGTGCGCGATAGCGGCAGGGGCGGCAAGGCAACGGTGGCGTCGCGCAGCCGCACGATCATGGGCGGCACGACGAAGTGGTCCATGGCCGCCGTCGCGCGCGCCTCGGCCGCCAGGTACACCTTGGTGAGGCGCGCCGCGCGGTCGCCTGCTTCCAGCAGGGCGCGGGCGCGGGCGAGGCGGTCCCGCGCTTCGCCGTCGACTGCCGCCATGGTCTGCGAGCCCGGGTGGTTGGGTCGGACTGTGGTTCCGGTCTCGTTACTGCTGCTGGAGGTCTTGGGGTGGGCGCGCGAGGAATTCGGGACGATGGATAGCGGGGGCGGGTTTCCGGGGGACGAGGCTGACGTCGACGCAGAGGAAGAGGCGGAGAATGTCGAGGAGGAGGAGGGGGAGAGGGGTGGGGATGCGGTTGGTGAGCCGGAGGGGGAGCGCATGTTTGATACCGTCCGCGTGATCGTGACCATGGGGATGGGCAGTGGGCCGGGCACGTCGTCTCCGTTGGCAGAAGGACCTGGCGGCGCGTAGGCGCCGAGGCACATCTCCCGCATCGCCATGAGGAGCCCGACTTGCTTCGTGAGATGGGGCACGAGGGCGGTCGCGAGGGCGTCGAGGAGCCCCGCGAGGGTGTCCGCGTTGTAGACCTGCGGGTCCTTGTGCGTGGCCGAGGCGTATGCGTAGACGCGGTGTAGGAGGAACGATATCATCTCCTCTTCCTCGTCGTCTTCGCCTCTGTACACCTCTTTGTCCTTCCCATTGTCTCTCTTCAGCGCCGCTATTCTGTCCTCGTCTGGGTTAGAACGAGAAGACTCCGCAGATTTGCTTCGACCCTGCGGGAGAGTTAAGGTGCCCGCCGGCACGCCCAGCACGGCTTCGAACCCGGGGAGCATGATGCCCTCTTTCAGACTGTGGTGGTCTAGCAGCCAGGTACTCCAGCTCTGCGTTATAAATAGAAAGTCTGCTACATCTGGGGCCTTTTGCACGTGTGGTGCCTGCAGATAGATTGCGTTGAGGCCGCGTAGCATGGCATTGTGGATGAGTGCGATTTCATTGGCGATATGGAGAGCTGGGTGGGTGATCTACATAGATCTTCTGTCAGCTGTCGATCTGATCGTCGAGATAGCTTGTTCCACTTCGATTGGTGGCTTTCGGCCTCAATAATGCAAGAGTATGTGAAATAACAGAGTCCAAGGTGAAGTGATGAATAACATGCAAGAAAATAAAGAGATAGGCAAGTATCTCCCCTTTCAAGCGAAGAGAGACGATCTCCAAGGTTTCTATCACAAGCACGAGAACAAAATACGTACGGCTTGTGTCCTCGACGGCGTTTCGATAAGCGGCCAGGGCTGATCGGCCCAAGGCTTCGTCGCAACAACTTCGCCCTGGGCCTTCATATCCTGACTTCCACTTCCACTCGCCTGTCTGTGTCCACCGAACGAGGTAGCACGAGGAGAAGATGGCTTCACGGCGAGCAATCCCTGATCGTTGGGCCTCGCTCTTATCAGCGACGCCATGGTCATTCGTAGGTACGGGTAGGGCTGGAGGTAAGAGAGATCGACAAGTAGCCCATGCAGTGTAATAAGTAGAAGAACGAAAACGGGCCGATCGACGGTTCTCTACAGGAGCTGATACCAATTGAAGCAACCAGGTAACGCAGCGAACGGGATTATGGCATATATCACCGGTCTCCGAATGGTCGAAGGAGGAGAGACGGACCGGATACCATGATCTATCTATAGGTTATAACAACGGCCAAGACTCTGGAAGCTTCGGAAACATAGCTACATAGTGTAAATACGTCGACAGTTCCCCTTCCCCCTCATCTCATCCACTTAAAGACCTCACCAAATCATAAGCATAAGCTACATAGGTACGAGATACATACGTGGGATAGCGTGGGTTATCGCCCCAAATAGGCAAAAAACATAAGTTCAAGACATAGATGGTGTTCCCGGTTTCTCCAGCTCGCAGCCAATAAAACGGACATTCTTTCCCACTGCGGTTCTCTTCACGTATAATAGCGTAAGAGTAGCTGGCGCCCACAACGGTAGTGTAATGTGTAGACGCCTTTATCTCGGCCGGGGTGGTTTGGACCGGTCGGAAAAATGCTTCATGCTTACAGTGGTTTGATGAGATATCGCGCAGTGACCCCCATTTCGTTGTGTACCTATGCAGGAACACCGGCAACGCAATGGGTAGATAGGGAATGCCGAACTAAGCGTAGGCACACTACCTAGTGTAAGACGTAGATAGTGATACGATGGATACGACACAGCACGACGTGCTCACTACATACATACTGTAGATGTGAGGAGCTGAACGTCAAGGTATCCGTGTGGTGTGTGAGATAGGTAAGGAGATAGCTAGGTATGATGAGATGCTAGACGAGACCGAGACCCAGACCAACGCCAGACCAGGTAAGCGGTTTGAACCGTTGACATGCGGTGTGACATCGCGAGGCTGCAGGTGAGAGAAAAAAAATTAAAAGAAATCAACGACATGGGTAAGAGGTAGGCTAGATTCTCTTGGGACCTAGACATCGGAAGCATATGTCAGCGAGCCCCCCTAAGAGGGAAAGCGGAGAGCGAGCAGCGAAAACCATCTCAGTCAGGCCTGTATGCATACATAGATATACGTACTGTACAGCTGCTAGTACATAAGTAGGTACAGGTATGTATGTATATATGTATATACAGTACATACATTACATTTGTTTGGCTTGGCTGCCTCTGTCTATCGGGTTCATACAGTGTAGATGTCAAAAGCTGGACTTGTGACAGGTGCGCTAACACTGAGCCGCACTCAATAGCTATTCGGGTTCCTCTTGGGCCGTCCCGCTGCGGCTGAGCCGTCCTGCCCTAAGAGGAAGGGAGGTTTGCAGTTGCTGGGCATCGGCGCACAATCCAATACAACAGCGTTCTGGCCCAGCTGTCTGTCACTTCTCATATCTGACAGCCCAACGGAAAACGGCTTTTGGCGTCCTCGCGTCCTGGCGTCTGGGCGGCGTGGGCGAATGTGCGAGGACAATGGGCGTGCAGGCGGATATTGGCTTTCCTAAGCCAATAACACATGGCCACCCAGTTACACACGACGAGAAAGTGGTCAGACGAAAAACCCGGGCCGGTACTGCGTGTGGTGAGCAGCAAAGTGTGTGTGTCTCTGTGTGTCTACTACGTACTGTAGTGTCGCGTATGGTAGTATCGCGTAGTGTGGCGTCTTGTAGACAACGTGAAATAAGTGCCGCCGCTAAGTGCCTATGCTTGCCCTTTTTCGTTTTTCGCGATAATGTGGCGAATGTCCATACCACTTCATACGTACAACACCACCCATACACCAAGATGCCTCTGGTGAACACTAGGCAGATACATAAGTAGTGTGGATG